TGCATAGGTGGGGCCGCTCAAAGCCCGCCAGCACTTCCTATTTGGCCCCACCCACTGGCTCTTTGAGCATAACTGGCTCTTTGAGCATAGGAAGGTGGGTAAGGGGAGTAGAAGGATTGGGGCTCTTAAAGCCTGGGCAGCAAGTCCACAGGACAGACTTTGGCATGAGGAGCACATAACCTCCAAGGAGTATCCACCTTACCTCTCAGGTGAGGCTTTTCCATCATGCTGTTACTCAGCTCTGTCATACACTCCTTCCTCAAGAAGACCTGACTTCACCTATGAAGGGCTGGGATTGGTTCTTTCCAAGTCTCTTTCTTTCCAGGCTGAGCACCTCTAGTTCTCTCAGCTGTTCTCAAAGAACCAGGCTTTCCGATGTTTCCTGCCCCAGTCTCTCAACGATATCCTCTGTGCCTAGTCCTGTGCTTCCCTGGGTGCGCAGATATCAGTGTGATGGAATTCCCTTCCCTGTGGGATATGTTGTATGTGGTGACAATGGACATGAATTGTAGGAGGTGTCAGAACACAGGAAAAGAGCTTGTTCTGCCAGGGTGGGTGGGTGATGTTGAGGCAGGAGAAAGGGTTAAAATGAAGAGGGAGGAAACTTGAACTCCTTCAAAATCCCAGCAGAGCTGAGAAACTGTAGACACAAGATAGGCCACATCAAGGTCAGGCTGACTCCTGCATAAGCAGGAAAAAAATGGTAGTGAGACATCTGCCATCCAGTTCCTGGAGCCCCATCAAAAAAGAGGGCCATGATAACCTGATTGAACCAAGAACATGTGAAGAACTTGTGGTTGCTGAGCACCTTACCCAGAATTTGGTAGGGGCTAGCTCCCTTAACTCTGTAGATTCATATAAACTCCTAGAAAATGGCCACTCAGAATATCCCTCTCTTAGGGCCCCTCTGCTTTTGGGAGATCTGCTTGCTTTCTTAATATTACTCTAATAAATCCTATTACTTTGCCCTTGTGTCTGTGGATTTCATTCTTTGAATTTGGGAGACAAAGAACCCAACCCCAGGCTCTGTGATAAAAATGTCGAGTAGACTTCCACCATGCGACCAGCGCACTGGTTTCATTAAAGAGGTTCTTGGCATAAAAGTTAACTAGTGAGATCGAAATAAATACACAGACTCAGTTACCTTTTTCTATGACCAGGTCCGAGACGGCTCTCTCTCACACCTCGAACCACCCGGTAGGGCAGCAGGGATTACTCAGGGCTAGCAGGAGAGAGAGAGAGAGCACGCCAGGGAGTAGCCTTTTATTGGGGAACAAGAAATTCAGGGGAGAATTCCATCCAATGAAGGTTGAGGGGGGCAGCACTGCAAGGTCAGGGTCAGTGATTGGCCCCAGGGTCAGTGGTCAAGTCACACCCCCACACGGACAGGCTCTCACACCAGGAGAGGGTCGGGAAAGCTCCGACACAGTTTACCCAGAGCGCCTCACATCCAAACCGGGAGTTGCCCAGTCACATGTGAGAATGGCTCCCCACAGTGACCAACTAGCTGGGTTAGCCCAAGGCTGAAGGAATTTACAAAATGGGTGATTTTGAAACAATAAAGGTCCTGGACACACATGAGGGGAATTGTGGCACAATGTCCTGCAGGTGAGGGGAACTGATGTTAGAGTAGCCTCATAAAAGAGATAGGTTTAGCTCTCTTCCCACATAATGTGCATGGTGAGCTCCTTGAACTCAAGTGCACTGACCCCTTCCTGAACCTCAGTGCCCAGAACAGAGCTGGGCATGATGTGTGGAGTTAGAGGAAGAAGAGGAAAAAGCAGCCTGAGAGCAGCAGAGGGACAGGGTCAACTCCCTGTTCTGCCAGCCCTGACGTGGTCACAGAGCTCAGTAAGGGGCAGCAGGGAGAGAAGCTCTGTAAGGGGTTGTGTGCTGACCACACTTAAGAGGAGGTAGAGGATATGAAGCTCATGCAGAGAGCTGAGGCTCTGACCCCCACAGCTCAGCAGAAACAGCTCCAAGTCCCTCACTTCTGCTGAAAGATCCAGAAATATGTCCCTGTGGTCATTTTACTCTCTAATCTCAAACCTTGAAATAAAAGATGATTTTTAAAGATTTGTCTTTCCACTGATATCAAGTCCAAGAGAACCAGGAGTTGCAATACATTCTGATATGGTACCTAATTTCTGTTCTTAAGACTAAAAGGCTCAGGGGTCACTCCAGTTAAACTGGGCTAACTGGGCTGCACGAAATAGCCACACAAGAGACACAAATTCCTTTTTCTTTGGGGTTGCTGTGACAGCTTCTCTGACCTTAAGGGTCTGCGGAAAGAGAGAGAGCGAGAGCACGCGCTGACCCCTTTTATTGAGGAGAGGTTATTTAAATGAGGCAAGGGGTCAGGTTTCAGGGGGCTGAGTCTATCTTCATGATGTCCACTGTCAGCAGGTTGACTGACACCTGGGTAGGCCACACCCAAGGGCATAGTAAGAGAAGGGGACACACACAAGGCACTTCCATGGAAGATTCTATTCTAAATAGGGCAAGGGGTTATATTACAAAGGAACAGGTGAGCATAGCTTCACCCATGGGGCTATAGCAAGACACACCCATGCACGAGACACCGACCCTCGCACCCAAGAAGGGTGGGGAAAGCTCTGCCACATTTCTGTGACTGAGAGCCTCAGCACCCAGCAGGGGAGTGTAACTCAGTCACATGTAAGGTTGGCCTCCCACAATATGGGTAGATGGGTTCCCAAGTGCCTGCCCACCGTGGTTCCTGGGGAGCTTCCTGACTACCTGAGGGTGATTCTGGGGAGATCAGGTGAGAGTGAAACCCCATCTCAGCAGTTTTCATCTCTTCCCTTTGGAGAACCTGTCCTGGGTCTGTGAAAGTCTTGAAAAAAAGTGGCAATTCATTAATCAATATCTAAAAAAATCTATTTGTCATTCTCCCTGGATACAACCTAGCATATACCAATAATATTTACTGGACATGTAAAACAGCTGAGTGAGCTGGATTTTTATTTTTTTTTGCCTTTTTCCCACTTTTTTAGAAAAACAGTCTGAGGTAATCTGTTAGGTACATTGTCCTGTAACTGAAAAACAAACTTCATATCCATGTGGACTTTGGTTTGAAACCTCTAAGGATGTAGGGAAAAGGGTACAGGATGTGGGGAAAAGGGTACTCTTGTACATTGCTGGTGGGACTGGTGCAGCCAATTTGGAAAGCAGTATGGAGATTCCTGGGAAAGCTGGGAATGGAACCACCATGTGACCCAGCTATTGCCCTTCTCGAACTATTCCCTGAAGACCTTAAAAGAGCATACTACAGGGATACTGCCACATCTTTGTTCATAGCAGCACAATTCACAATAGCTAGACTGTGGAACCAACCCAGATGCCCTTCAATAGATGAATGGATAAAAAAATGTGGCATTTATACACAATGGAGTATTATGCAGCACTAAAAAATGACAAAATCATGGAATTTGCAGGGAAATGGATGGCATTAGAGCAGATTATGCTAAGTGAAGCTAGTCAATCCCTAAAAAACAAATGCCAAATGTCTTCTTTGATATAATGAGGGCAACTAAGAACAGAGCAGGGAGGAAGAGCAGGAGGAAAAGATTAACATTAAACAGAGACATGAGGTGGGAGGGAAAGGGAGAGAAAAGGGAAATTGCATGGAAATGGAAGGAGACCCTCATTGTTATACAAAATTACATATAAGAGGTTGTGAGGGGAATGGGAAAAAAAACAAGGAGAGAAATGAATTACAGTAGATGGGGTAGAGAGAGAAGATGGGAGGGGAGGGGAGGGGGGATAGTAGAGGATAGGAAAGGTAGCAGAATACAACAGTCACTAATAGGGCATTATGTAAAAATGTGGATGTGTAACCGATGTGATTCTGCAATCTGTATTTGGGGTAAAAATGGGAGTTCATAACCCACTTGAATCTAATGTATGAAATATGATATGTCAAGAGCTTTGTAATGTTTTGAACAACCAATAAAAAAAAAGAAACTTCTAATTTTTCCCTGTTTACGTAATGAAATAACTAAGCCATCATTCATTATATATATATATATACCCACAAGGATCTGTGACAAAAGTGAGATTTTGACCCACGCCTTAAGTCAAGCTCTAATTTCTGACCAGATCCACCCTGTCCCAGCCGCAGATCCCTGATCCCTAACATGGATGAAAGCCTGGCTGCTATGTCATTCTTTAAAGGCCTGCAGGTCACAGGAGCTGTAAGACAGAAGTTTTAGTGAATCTTCACCCAGAACCCATAATGCCTCCCAGTTAGACCTTCCCATTTCTAGTATGTTCTGCCTCCCTTCTTGGACTTAATTGGCCTTTCCCATGTAAGGAATGCCTTTTATGGTAATGAGAGGATCTATAAACTGACCTCCAATGGCCTATGAGCACACAGCTTTTGTCCCCTCCTTCTGTTTTCTCTCCTTTAACAGACTCAGCTAAAATGAGCTGGCCACGACCCCTCAGGCAGAGCCGGCCCCCCTGTGTGTGCAGGGGCTGGGTATACTCATTTGGCATAATTCCCTAGTTGACTGTCTGTGAGTCCAGATTATAGGGTGTCAGGTGCTATATAGGGGATTACTTGTGCCATTGTATTGGGGGTGTTGAATAAGATCCATCCCAGCACATTCAACAGCAGCTCCATGAATTGTGCTCCTGAGTGGAGGTCTCACATGCATCAGATGGTGTTGGATTCCCACCCTGCCCACATCCCTACCCCCACCAGCATCTTGAGCTCTATAGGGCACTCAGATTATGACAGTGGCTACATGCACCTATTGGCGGTTTGCTGTCTGCTCTGCTTGGTAACTGCTGTCCTGGGACAGAGCAAGTGATCAGGCAGAGGCTCAGCAGGACAAGGGAGAGCTGGAGGAAGAGATGGTTGGATTTCCAGGACATCCTCCTTCTGGCCAAAGTGAGTGTGTAAGAAAGAAGCCTGAGGCTTTGCCCAGGAGCAATGGGAGGGATAGACCCTGCCTTCTCAGCCATGGCCTCCCCAGATGGAGAATGGGAGCAGCCTGTCTGATGAGGACCTGCGTGCCGAGGTGGACACCTTCATGTTTGAGGGCCATGACACCACAGCCAGTGGTATCTCCTGGATCTTCTATGCTCTGGCCACACACCCTGAGCATCAGAAGAAGTGCAGGGAGGAGGTCCAGAGCCTCCTGGGGGATGGAGACTCCATCACCTGGTGAGTGAGAGCTCAAGAGGTGGGAGAGCCCTGCCTCTGGTAGGGACAAGGTGCTGGTCTGCCCAGGCCCTCAGGATGGCCTTCACCTCAGTGACTACCTGGACCAGATGCCCTACACCACCATGTGCATCAAAGAGGCCCTGAGGATCCATCCATCAGTACCAGCTCTGAGCAGAGAACTCAGCAAAACCTGTCACCTTCCCTGGTGAGTGTTCCTTACCCAAAAATATGCACTTCCCAGACTCACTCACCTAGACTCTCCCAAGGGACCAAGGAGGATTAGAATGTGTTTTACCAGTTCTGAAACTTGCTGGGTCTCCCTTTATTGATATGGCAAAGGAGTCTCACTTTGAAATTAGGATGCATCTTATGAAATACTGAGCTTTACTTCAGCAAAAGCTCAGTAAATGAATGTTTACCTATGTATCTGTCCCTAAAACTTTATCCTAAAATTTCATTCCCTAAGATGTGGAGGATAAAGAGAGAAACAAGCAAAGGCAGAAAGAGAAGTGGGCTTTTCTTATGGTGTCAAGTGAAATGAGGGAGATCAAGAAATCCTGTGTCATGAGTCAGATGTAGTACAGTCTCTGAAGAGCCCTAAGGTTGATGGAATAAAGCAACTGATGACCAGAGATGACACCCCAGCTGTGGGAGGAAGCCACCAGTTGAAACATTCACCATTGCGTATGTTCTCAGTCCTGCCACATTCTAGCTATGGAAACTTACACAGAATAATTAATTTTGTGAGACTCAAGGATCTCATTTGAAAAGTGAGAATAAATAATGTCTTCCTTGGAGGGTGCTTCTGAGTATTGGGTAAGTTAATGTACATCCTCCAAAAGCTCTTGGAAGGCATTTAATGAATGTGCATTGTCTTTTTAATTAGTAAAGACCATAAGACTCTGATAATTGCTTCCTTTCCATTCCTGAGTTGGTAGTTTTCTGTTCCTTTTCCATTCCAAGGTATTTTGCCAAACCCAGCTTGTCTCCCTCTAACAGGACCACCTTGATCAAAATGATGATGATTTATGGTCCCAGGCTCTTTCTGTGTGCAGGTCTCCTGCTGGCTGAGAGGCTAGGGCCTCTCTGGCAAAATCAGTCTCTCACTGTCTCCTATCTGCTTCACAAGTATCACAGTCACACTCTTCACTTACACCCTTCACCACAACCCAAAGGTATGGCCAAAGCCAGAGATAAGAGGACCCTGGGAAGAAGGTAGGAGAGGAATTCTCTGGGACCAACACTTCCTCCTTCTCCCACCTCTGGGCATTCTGTGCCCTCATGGGTTGAAACCAGGGACTTGACCCCTACCTGTCCTGGCCTTGGTTCTCTCCCTGCAGATGTTTAACCCTTACCCTTTTGTATATCTGGTTCTGCTAGACCCAGCCCCTCTTTCCCATCTTCTCAGGAGGATTAAGGTGAGGTGTCCTCCATGTGGTCATGCAGGATGAGATGGAGAACCAGGGAGTCTATGGTCACATCCCTCTATAATTCCTTATGTTTCTTTGTGACATCTTCAGGTATGCCACTATTGTTGGTGTTTGCTGGAAGCAGGCATCATGTGGGGGTCTCTGAGTACCAAAGTAGCATTCCAGGGCATATCATGGAGAGTTTGTTCCACCCACCCTTTCCAATGGTCATCCAAAATCAATGTCAGTGAACATTTCAAATTTCAGGATATTTTGGTGTTTTCCTCACTGCTGGAGTATGGATTTTCAGAATGAGTTTTTATCATGTAAACTAACCTTCCTGTGTTTCTTTTTATCAATTTACAGATGTCATAAAGGATGGATTTCTCTCTTTTCCCACTTTGTCAATGGAGCCCACCACCTTTTCTGTTTAATTCCCTAGTTGGCCACTACAATTTATCATTGAAATATTTCCATATATTTAGAAGAATCATACAGGCCTTTCTGGTCCTATTACTGAAGCCATGCATGTGAGAGTTTTCAGCCCATTGTAGAAGGCTGAACACCAGTGAATGTTGTCTCACAGTTTTAGCTTCTGGCTCAAAAAATATTTCACTGCATGTTACTCATTACATATATCTACTTTCCCAGTCAGCAAAATTCTGCATGTGGAGAAGGATCTCTACACCATAGTGTCATGGCCCACCTAGTCAAACACTGGCAAGAATGAGGATGCTAAACACAGAGCACATGTCATGTGTACTCCCAAATACACCTGAAATAGCTGTTGAGCTGGATAGGACCAGTTCAAAAGAGCTGCTGAGAAAACCCACCAAGGCTGCAAGAATCAGCCTGAGAAATACACATTGCCATGAACCTACTAAATAATTAATAGAAGTCAATAATTCTGTGAATTCTACAATTTCAAGCCAACTTTCACAGAACCAGTATTAAATGGTTTATCTTTATCCTAGAGAATCCATCTCTCTAGGATAAAGTTTTTCCTGGAGTTGAGAACTCCCTCTTAGACATTAACTATAAATCATGGTGCTACCATTTGAGGGCAGGAGAATATTAGATAGCTCAATTACTAGCTGGAAATACTTATCCTTCATTTTTTCCACTGCATTTCAATTTATTTTTGAAGTTCTACTAAATTAATTCAAACACAAAAGAAGTTAAGTGTATGTTTTTCTATGCTATATTGTGCTCAAAGATAGAAACACAGAGATATAGGATTCTATCCAAGTTCAGCAACAAAAGTAGAGGGGTGTTGTACAGGATGAGACACCAACATTTGAGACAGATATGATTCCTTTCTTCATTTTTTTCTAGTCTCCATTCACTCACTGAGAAGCATATGGAAGGTTTTATGTCTCTGGCACTGTTGGAAGCCCTGGACTGTGGTGTGTCTATTTTAGTCACCTTTTTGCTGCTGTGACTAAAAGACCTGACAAGAAAAGAGTTTACTTTGGGGCTTGCGATTTCAAGGTCTCATCCATAGATAGCTGGCTCCATTCCTTGGGGTTGGGAGGAGGCTGAACATCATGGCTGAAGAGTACGGTGAGGAAAGTGGCTCACATGATGATCAGGAAACAGAGAGAGACTCCACTCACCAGATACAAACATATACCCCAAAGGCATGCTCTCAATGCCCACCTCCTCCAGCCACATCCTACCTGCCTTCAGTTACCACTCAGTTAATCCTGTCATGGGATTAATTCACTGATTGGGTTAAGGCTCTCAAAACCCAATCATTTCTCCTCTAAATCTTCTTGCATTGTCTCACACACACACACACATGAGCTTCTGGGGGATATCTCATATCCAAAACATAATGGTGTCCTTGAATAAAGCAGGGATGGCAGCTTAGGGGCCTGGGAGGGAGAAGGACTCCAGCAGAGGGTGAGAGCCAGCTGGTCACTGGTCTGAATGGTGAGGAGGGCAATTTCAGTGATTCCAATAGCAGGAGCTAATCTAGGAAGGGCGACTGGAGAGACAAGGCGTGGTTGAGGCAGCAGTGCACAGCAGATGTGGAGGGAGCTGAGCCATTTGGACACTCTCCTACCTGTTGAAGGGAATGGTGTATGAGCGTTTGGGGAGGGGAGTCAGGGAGACCCCAGAAGTGCAGGTGAAGGGGACTGAAGGTTGACAAAAAATTCCTCTTTCCCACCAATTTGGAGGATTGAGATGGAGAATTTGGGTCCCTGTGTGTCCCACTACATGGTGATCCCTGGGAATGTGGTACCCTCCCCCAACCCATGTGACTCTACAAATGTTTTTCACACTGGCAAACTAGAAACTTAGTGGAGCAGTGAATTATTCAATAATTAACTCTCGATGACTCGTATGATTGGACACTGTCCCTCTGAGTTCGATGGTGTGCTCACAGAGATTTTATGCCCATCAGAGCAGAAATAGCATCAGGGTTAGCACAAAAAAGTGTGGGAGGCCTTGTCAAAGGTCTGGAGATTGCGAACAATGGTCTGAAGTAGAGGTTTGAGTAGCCTGTAAAGAAGGTGTTAGCTAGGCCCCATAAAGCAGCCCCTGCATGACCAGCTCCGGGCTATGACTTAGGGGCCAATGCCTGTCCAGATCAGAATGGGGCCTGAGGCCACTTCTCTTTCACTGTCCCTGCCTGACCTAGGCACTGCATTGGAAGCAATTTTGCATGAATGAGATGAATGAAGGTGGCTGTGGCCCTGACCCTGCTCCATTCTGAGCTGCTGCCAGATTCCACCAGGTTCCTTTCCCCTTGGCACACTTTGTGCTGAAGCCCATGAGTGGGATCCACCTGCATCTCAAGAAGTTCCAATAATACTGGTGAGGCCAAGGGCGAGCTCTGAGGGCCTCCTGCTGCTACCTGTCACCTGCTCTGGTCCCTGACTGTTGCCCCAACATCTTGCTTTCTATCTTTTTTTTTATGTAGATGACATACTTTTCTTTTTTTATTATTATTATTGGTTGCTCAAAACATTACAAAACTTTCTATCTTTTTACCTGCCCCCTCCCACCTGTCTGCTCTCCTGCCCCCTGTCCTCCTGTCTGTTGGCCCTCTGTCTCTCACTTAACTCCAGGCTCTCTACCTGCTTCTCTTTATAACTTTCACCCTCCTGCCTGTATCTTTATCTCCTAGTCACCTGCCTGCCTACCACCCTGTCTGTCCTTTACCAATCATTTTCCCTTGTGCTGTTTGTTTGTCTATCTATGAGTTTCTTACTGCTGCTATAAAAAATGACAACAAGGGGCTGGGGATGTGGCTCAAGTGGTAGCGCACTTGCCTGGCATGCGTGCGGCCCGGGTTCGATCCTCAGCACCACATACAAACAAAGATGTTGTGTCCGCCAAAAACTAAAAAATAAATATTAAAAATTCTCTCTCTCTCTCTTAAAACAATATTTTAAAAAATGACAACAACCTCAGTGACTTTGCATGACAGAAATCTAGTTCCTTATGGTTCTGAAGATCAAAGTTCTATCATGGGTTTCCTTGAGATGCAACCAAAGTAATTGTGCTGTTTCTACATATCCAGGGCAGTAGTGTGCCTCTTCCTTTTGTCATTTCCATTACTTAGAGCTGCATTGCTGGGCTTCAGGACCCATGGTCAATATTCAAATCCTGCAACACCTTTAAATCTCTCTACTTCTGTCCTCACATCAAATCTCTAGTACAAGGACCTTTGTGATTACAATGTGTCCACTATGATAATACAGGACATCATAATCATTCTCCCTGGTCAAGGATGTGTACATTGTGTGAGCCATATTCAGCCTAACACATTCCTTCCTGTCACCCAATTTTTGTATCTGTGTCTCTCCTGTACATCTCTTACCCAAATCTCTTAATTTCCCTCCTTCCTGCAACAACATTCATGAGGTTGAAAAAAAAACATTCACATTTGGGATTGGCTAACTTCACTTAGCATTAATAATATTAGCACTAATATTATTATTATTAGTTGGATGAAGTGCCTATCTTCCCTTGGAAGAAGATGGAGGGAAAAGATGGACGGTTGGGAAAAGAGAAGAGACAGGTCACTACAGAGGAAGGAGGAGGAGATGAGATCTGCTTTGTGGTGCCAGGACCCTGCCTCACCAGATGCAGCCCACCCACTCCAGGTCACCTTGTTCATAGGATCCCTGATGCCCCACACCTGCCCACTGGTTGAGGGCTCTATGTAGCCTCAGCTTTTTGACAAGGTCTCTTCCATAGAAATTCAGAAGGAGAAGTTCATACTTGTTAGGGAAAGAAAGCAGAATTCAAACAACAATAAGTGTTGGCGAGGATGTGGGGAAAAAGGCACACCCATGCATTGTTGGTGGGACTGCAAATTGGTGCAGCCAATATGGAAAGCAGTATGGAGATTCCTTGGAAAACTGGGAATGGAACCACCTTTTGACCCAGCTATTCCTCTCCTCGGTCTATACCCAAAGGACTTAAAAACAGCACACCACAGGGACATAGCCACATCCATGTTTATAGCAGCACAATTCACAATAGCTACAATATGGAACCAACCTAGATGCCCTTCAGTAGATGAATGGATTAAAAATGTGGCATATATACACAATGGAATATTACTCAGCAATAAAAGAGAATAAAATCATGACATTTGTAGGTAAATGGGTGACGTTGGAGAAGTTAATGCTAAGTGAAGTTAGCCAATCCCCAAAAAACAACTGCCAACTGTTTTCTCTAATATAAGGGGACTGACTCACAGTGGGGTAGGGAGGGGGAGCATGGGAGGAATAGAAGAACTCTAGATAGGGCAGAGGGATGGGAGGGGAAGGGAGGGGACATGGGGTT